CCCCATTAAAGGATACTTTCAGGAAATGGGATCAAAATGACAAACTAGCTGTCAGTTACAAGGCCTCCCCCAGAGGAGGTGGTCAATGGACATTTCTCCATTAGGAAACGGTGAAAGGTCCCTCCTTGACCGCTGTGCTCCGACGTCATTGTTCCCTCCCGTCATTGTTCTCTGCTAAGCGGCCACATTGACCATTTGCCCCTGTTAAACCCACCGTGCGCTGCAGGCTGAAGTGTGGGTGATGAAAGAGTCGGAAAGACCGTGGAAACCACAAGTGTATGTCATTCACGAGCCTGCCTTGCAGCATTTCCTCCACGGCCCGTTTTTATTCTGAGTCCAATAAACTCTCGCGACGTTTATCAAATTTTGTGACCAGTTGCATATCATACCCATGGGTGAAAAAGATATACTTATCATTGCCCAGAGAAATTTAAAGTAAGATTTTATTTAATGCTCTGGAAGAATTATAAGTCAGGCAACCTTTTAGGTTTCAGAGCAAAAAGAGCAGTGTTTATATCTCGAATGGAAATTCCTTCACTCTTTCATTCGCTCACTCATGTGACTCACTCATGTGTCAAGTGCTGCTGTGGGTCCGGCTCCCAGGGCCAGGTGCAGAGAGGGAGATTTGCGTGTGGGAGCCTATTGCAGGCTGCCCTGGGGACAATATTTGTGAAGGAAGCAAGATCAGGCAGAGAGAGGAGCGGAACTGAAATGCAGTCACAACAAACACTTCAGCTGATCTGGATCTCGTGGGAGCTCTGGGTTGGAATCTTCCCTTCAGAGTTGCTCCTCTTTGAGGCAAGGGGACAGGACCTTAAGCTCCATGCTGGGTGCCCCATGGAGGACATGCCACCTTGGGTGAGTTGGTCCTCCTCCACTGAATTCTCAGACGAACCCCGCTGACCTGTCTCATCTCTCCAGCCTCTGAGGGATCAAGAGAGAATCTGAGCAATACATCAGAGTGTATACCCTAAGCGCCAATTAAGGACCAGCGTTAGATTTAACTGCTCCTGCTAACCTTGACCTTTTTCTGAGTTAGGGGAGTATCATGAAAAGCAAATGTGGGAACATACCCCTTTCCCGTTATTTAAAGTTTTCCTACAATTGATTAGTTTAATAAGCAGGTATTAAAACTATACTATGGTAGACAGCCTAGAAGTTCATGTACAGGTGAATGGGTAAACAGTCTGCTGCATAGTCCTCACGGAACTGCTCCTCACCAACAGAGAGGCATGAGCCCTCTGCACACGCTGCATCGTAGATGGAGCTTCAAACACATGTGCTGAGTGAGAGAAGCCAGACAGAAGAACACACATAGTGTACGATTCCACTTACGTAAAATTCTGCAACATCAACACTAATCTATAATGAAAGAAGCAGATCAGTGGTCATTTTAAGAAGGGAGGTGAGGCCCTGGCCGGTGTGGCTGTGGGTTGGATGGCATCTTGTAAACTGAAAGTTTACGGGATTCCGCCCTCTCTCCCCGCCCCCCTTTCCCCCGCCTCTCTCTCCGGAATCAATGGCTATATCTTTGGGTGAGGATTTAAAAGAAAAAGAAGAAGGAGACGGGATCTTAGCTAGAGAACAGACTAACAGTTGTCAGAAGGGAAGAGGTTGCGGGACTGGGTGAAAAGCCTAAGGGATTAAGCACCCCCCACCCCAAAAAACCCTCATGGACACAGATGACAGCACAGGAGTTACCAAAGGGACAGGGGGCAGGGGAGCTAGAAGAGGGTAAAGGGAGGCTAAATGGCGATGGAAGGAGACTTGACTTGGGGTGGTGAACACACAGCACAGTGTACAGACAGTATATTATAGAACTGAACCCCTGACACCTGTGTAGTTTTATTAACCAATGTTACCCCCATTAAATTCAATTAAAATAATAATAAAATAATACAAAGGAAAGGGAGAACTTTCGAGGGTGATGGTTATTTGATTATGATGATGAATTCATAGGTATACGCATATGTCAAAACTTACCAAATTGTTCACTTCCAATATGTGCAGGTCATTGTCAAACAGATGCCAATAAAGCTATTTTAAGAACAACTCCAGTGTGAATGTGTCTTCGCCAGGCCTTGGGAACACTGGGGTAAATAGGAAACAAATTGGTTTCAGGGAGTTCAGAGGCTAGGAAAGGAGACAGATGTATATTCAACTAAATATAATGCAAACCAAAAGAAAAACTAGTATGGCTTACAATTGAAACTATTGTGGGGGCAAAAAAAGTAGAGAACTTATTTTTTTCTGGGAGTATATAGGATAGTAACAGCTAACTCATACAGCATTTACTGTGTGCCAGTCACTAAAGCACATGTAACGTCTTTAATTCTAACAGCCTGATGGGTGGGGCCTGTCATTGTACCTATTTCACCGGTGAAGAAGCTGAGGTTGTGGTTCCAGAATCCATCCTCGTACTCTCTAGTTACTGCTACACTCCGAGAAGTGCAGCATTTGGTCTGGGCCTTGGAGGATGAATCGAATCTCCCCGGGAAGAGAAGGCCATTTGTTGGCCAAGAGGGCCTGTGAGTTACAACACAGTGTGCCTACAACTGTGCTTGAAACGTGGCAAGAACTGGCCAGGGGGCCCACACTGGGAGCGGGAAAGTGGGGTGGGCGGGCGGGCAGGCCAGGGCGTGAGCCGCCGCGAGTGACTTGTTTAATGGTTTGCGCTGTAACCCTCAGGCAGAAGGAAACCACCGAGAGTTTTGAGTAGAAGAATTGTATCAAATTTGAGTTTTAGAGAGAGAATGGAATATAAGAGAAAGTCTACCTGCCTGCAGTTAAATGAACACCTGGCAAATTTTATGTGAATCTTTCATAGGTATTGCACTGAAACCATATTAAATCAATAGATTTGGGATAGATTGCACTGTAAATTTAAGTTTCAGTCTCAGAATATTTCAGTCTCTGGTCCCCTGAGTCCTGTATTCATTCTGTTTTCACTTATGGTTCTATACATTTTTTACCCAACAGAAAATTTTCAGAAAACCGTAATTAGAAGTAGAGAAGCAAAGGGACCCTTTTGCAGGCCCATTACCTGAATTTACTTCAAAATTGGTTCAACTTTTTCCCCCACTGGCTTAAAACAAAAAGTCCCATGACGGCATTTTAATTTTTTTCTTGTAAAAGTTATTTTATTTTTCTCCTTCTAGATTCAAGTTGTATAAGCTCCAGATATGAAGCACCAACCAACACCTCTGCCCAGGCGTGTTGCGGACCCCCAACGCCCCACCCAGCCGCTCTGGAGGGGACGCCCCTCCTCCTGTGCTCTGACTGGGAGTGTTAGAAAATCCTTTCGAGAACAGCACTCTCCTAGGCGCAAATGTGAGAGCTTGTTTACTAGCCGTGGTCATTTCACGCCTCCCATGAGAGGTGCAGAGAGACACTGCATGTGCCCTGTCCTTGGGCTTTCTTAAGGGGAAATGAGACAGGGTACAGAAATAAGGCCTTGCCCCAAAGCAAGGACACAGCATTAGCAGGAAAATCAAACACTCAGACACCCATGGAGTCTTAACTATAAAAACTAGAGTCCATGGAGTGGAATCTTATGAGGAAAAAATCATAATCACACAGAAGACTCAAAAGTGTTTCTATTCTCAGTTCTGCCACAGACTCATTGTGCCACCTCAGGTGAACTCTGTAATTCTTTACTTTAAAAATGGTACAATGCCACACTCACTCTCTGCTTCCATAAGCAAGTCGATATATCTCAATATAGTCAACAAATTCCTAGGAGAACCTTCTGTGATCCTAGCCACACTCGCGGGTTGCAGAGTCAGGTCTCGCTCCCACAGCCCTCGGTCTCTATTCCAGAACATTCACAGCCAGTATGGCCCAAACTTGCCTCGTGATACCTAGAGGGCTTGTTGAACGGACAGGTGGCTCCTCGTCCCAGTGAGATTCCAACTTCAGCAATCCAGGCTGACGCCAGCAACCTGCACTTTACAGCCAAAGTCCCAAGGCATTCACGTCGCCATACAATATGAGACATACTAGATGGTGCTAAACCTCTTAAGAAAGCTCCATTTTCTCTCTTTTTATTCTCCGTCTGCCCGTTGAAATAGGTAAAATACTTTAAAGACATTTTTGATGGACAGAATTTTTCCTATCCAAACAATTGACACATTTACAGAATATTAACACTCATGTCAATTAGAACCAGTAAATATCATTTCCTTTACAATTTTCCAAACATTACAGATTAGCCTGTATTTTCTAAACATAAGCTTATTAGTATGTTGCTGTGTGTCCCTGGAAAAGTGAAATCAAGTGTACCTCAATTTGTCCGATTATTAAAGATTAAATACCAAAATTGTTCATCTGTATATTATCACTCCCACTAGATCACATTCTCCTAAAAACAAGGATTTATCTGTTGTGTCTGATTCTATCTTAAAATAATGTGTGCTAGATGGCTGAACAGATCAAAGGATAGATGGATGTGTGATGGGTAGATCATGCATGGGAAGATGTACAGATTTTTTTTTTAATGAGCAAATATGTAAATGAATGAATTCTGATCTAGGATGAATTCTGGCCATCGTTATAAATTGTTGCCAGAATTAGAAATATAAAATATTCCCAAGGTTTCAGCAAAACTTGTCTGATCATAATTATTTAATAAACTAGAAAAGTAAAAATGAGGCGGCATTGCTTCACAGGGATGTTTTAATCTCTCTCCCACACCACTCCCCCGAAGCCTTGCAACTACATGGCTTACGAGTACTGCCCACGGGTAATAGAATGATGTGTGCTACCAACACATCACTCACACTTCTCCACAACGCAGATGACACATGTGGTCCACGAAATGTTCCACCGGGAGGTGTTTTGGGGGCAGCTAAGAACGAAGGGGCCTTCCAGAGTAGGTGGAGGAGCTGAGACACATGAGGTCACAGAGCCTCTGCCTCTCCCCCTTCAAAAGAGACCACTTTGCCCCGTTTGCCTCAGAGTCTAGAGGAAGTTGACAAAGCGTGACAGCGGCACGGCGCAGAATGTGGTGGAGAGTCTGCAGCTTGCTGATTTGGTTACCCTTACAAGGTAAGCACTCCGAGCTCATGTTTTTTGCTGCTCAGTTGACCTACTGTTTTGTCAAATCTACCAGTCAATCAACTGCATTTTCAGAGGACCTATTACAGAGGACAACCAGGTAAATTTGGTTTCATTTACACTCCTAATACATTCCAAGTCACACCAAATTTACACATCTGAGGGATGTTACTGCATTTGTTTAATCTCTTGTTCAATTAGCAAAGAGTATACAAAGGAGCATTGCAGTGTGCATCTCTGTGGGGTCTATATTATGGAAAAATGTGACAAGCTTTCTGGATCTTTTAAGAGTGTACCAGTTGAAAGAGCATTAGTTTGGGATTTTAAAAATTTCCTTGCTCTGTATAAGTCTTAAGTCTTAACCAAAAAATGTAATTTATCTGAAACTCAGTCTCTCCATCTTGAAATTAAGGTGATAACAATGTTTGATCCACGAAACTCCCTGGATTGTTATGAGTCAAATTTCAAGCATGAAAGCACTTTGAAAGTGACCAAATGCCAAACAGCTCTTAATTAGTTTAAAGGTAATAAGGAGCCAAACTAAACCTTGTGCTTATTTCTTAACAGTCAGCTATACATTTTATTATAATTTTCAAATTTTATTTTTGGTTTTTTAATACTGAAGTAGCAATATGGAGATTAAAGAAAGGCTCAGTTACCTTCAGAGCACAGGTGAAATCATTCCTACCCAAAAGCGGGGGCAGGGGTACAGGTGTCCCTGGAGATCTGATCGCAACTCCGACTCGGCAGAGGAAACCACACAATGGATGGCTTGCCTGTTGTTTGTGCGTGTGCGCGTGTGTGCGCGTTTCCCAGTACTGAGCCTGGAGTTGTTTCAGGCAATGCACCTAACCTTCTAAATCTGCATCACCATAGAATTTCATCAGAAAGATATTATTTAAAAACCAGATTTCCTATTTTACATAGTACTTCAATTTTTTATTTTCTACACTTCAATTTGTGCCTTGTGGTTTCATCCCTGTACCCTAAAACGTGTGATAAGTATTCAATTTTGGTAATAAATAACATTAGTTTCTTTAACAAGTGGCTTAAAGAACAGCTACTATTTGGAAAAAAATAAATTTTGACAGCTTTAGAATGCTTTCAATTATTCTAAAGTGTAAAGCCTTCAACTGACCTTAACTTTTCCAGGATTCAAGTTATTGTTTCATCAAAATACCTCACAAAAACAAGTTTTTAAATAGAAACAGCAATAACCATGTTTAATGGTAGACCAAAGGCAGGTTTTTTTTAGAAATATAATCAAATGTTATTTATAAAGAAAACAGAAATATATCTATTATGTAGTACATAGCGCTGGGTACTTTTTGTTCATTACATTGAATTTTAGCAATGATACAAAGGTAGGTATTAATATCTCTAATTTACATATGAGAAAATTTGAGGTTAAAGAAGTTAGATACCTGCTTATGTCTCCACAAATAGTAAGTAACAATATAAATATCAGCCCACAAAGCACACAGTAAAAGTATTTTCTCATGAAGTTGTGAGTGTGTGTGTGCGCACACTGGGTTGTGACAGAAAACGTGTTTCTTAACGTGGATCACAAGTTTGAAAGGCACTGACTTACAGGACTTGGAAGATTCATTATTGAAAGATCCCAGTGTGAAAGGGCACCCTGAGGGCCGCCCCGAGGGCACCCGGTCGCCTCGGTGCCGGAGCAGGGATTGCCCACTCCGCCCTGACCTCGCCTGGGCCCATCAGAGCCCCAAATGAGAAAGGAGCAGACCATGTTGCTTTCTTGTTGGTTAAAAGGCAACACATCATCAATTCTGGCACTGCAGTAAATCATCCGCTGCTTTTGGCTAATAGAATTATGGGAAGATCACTCTACCTTCTTCTACTGTGCAACTTCTAAGGCTGCCAAAAATTTATAAACCAGAAAATCCCATGACCTTGTAGCCTACACTCTTTTCAAGGCTACCATTGGCATAAATATCTACTAGGATAGCTAAAACACAGTAAGAATGAAAAGCTTTTTCAAAATTAATCCCATTGACCTACATCGTGGATGATGAAAATCCACTAATTTGCACCCTCTATTCTAGTTGTTCAGTGGACAGTAGGGTACAGGAAACAGAAAGACCAGTTGTAAATTGAGCAGGTTCTTGTAGATTCTTCTTTGGACAAGGAAGAAATCACATGTTTGTTGACACATATTTGAGACAATTTCTTTAAAGTTGTACTGGAAATAATTTGATTTTGACAAAGATTCATTTTCATATTTGTAATTTTGTGTATTAATTCTATCTAGAAATAATAATTCTTCTTTTTTGTAACGTTCTGATAGAAGCACATATTGCCTGCTACCTTATAATAGTCATGTAAATAAGGCTCTGGTTTGAGACTTAACTCATTGTCAGCTTAGAGAATTAACTTAGCACTAGTCTTCATTACTTAATATAACAATGACAAAGTTAGCATCTTATTACTGAATATATACATTGTACAGTTACTCATTTTTAGCCATTAATCTGTAACCAAATAATTATAAAGCACTGTACTAAGTGCTATAATAGAAATCTCCTCGAAGCCTTCGGGGGTCTGGAGGGGAGAGTGGGTGAGTCACTGCCCAGAGGACGCAGCCCAAGGACTCCTCTGGGGAGGTGTGATAGAAGGTGGGCGACGGGAGTTGAGTCTTGAAGGAGATAAGCAAGGCGTCTGGGCCAAGAGAACAGCATGGACCAAAGCAAAGTGCCTGGAACTTTCTGGAAACAGTGAATGACCATTTGCATGGAATGTCTGAATAGGAGAATAAGCAAATGATACTGGAGGAGAAGACAGCCTGAAATTTTGGTCTGATTCTTATAATCAATGGGAGCCTTAACAAATAGTCTAATAAAGGAACACACACACAATCAAATTTATGTTTTGAAAAGGTAATTCTAGAAGCAGGTGAATATGATAACTTAGAGGGAGTGGAGACTAAAAGGAAGTTATTGCCATGGTCCAGGAAGGCGAGCAACAATGGAGGACTCAACTAAGGCAGCAAGAGTAATTTTTTTTTAAGAGGAATAAATTGATTAAAGAGGTGGCTTGGAGAGAGAAGGTGACTCTCAGATACCCAGTGTACAGTGGCTGGTGATGACATCCATAGACACAAGGAAAGGTTGGAATGAGGCAGGTGTCTCTCTGTGTCAGGTGTGCATATAACACAAGGAGCAGAGAAGTAATGCATTCCAACTGTATGTGGCCAGTGTAGGGTCCTGCAGGACAGGCTCTTTACTGGAGCTTTTAAATTTATCATATACAAATTTAAGTGACTAAAGAAAAAAGAAAGAATACTTTTTTCAGTCTCCTGTGAGGACCTACAGTAGAGGTGGAGACCATACACTGCAACTCCCCAAACCTTGGGAAAAACCAAGGAATCGTTAGAAATGCCTAGGTTTTACTTATGTGTACATGGCTGTGATGGCTGCTTGCCCTGTGGCCTGAGGATTGGCCGCATGTGCTTTGGTGTGAAGCCACTCCATTGTTAGGACAATTAGTTAATGGGGGGAGGGGCGGGGAGTGCTGAAGATCGCAGGTTCCATATGCGCAAAGCACTCACAGTCCACAGCCCTCATAGACTCCATGAGCACCCTCATCACACATGGCATGCATGGATGGATGAATCCAGTCGTGGAGTAGCAACCGAGCCCCGAAATCAATAGCCCCACTTAGTGAGCTGACCTTCCAACAGAGGCTACACAGTCACTCACTGCTGAGCTCCGCTTGCCCAGCACTGCGGAGCCACGCAGAGCGACTCTGTGGGCGGGAACTGTGAAGCTCAGCTGGGGACCACGAAGAGGCAGGCACAGCTCTCGGGTCTACGGAAGGAAGGGTGAATAAGGTGTACGTGTTTTTACAGCCTGCAGGGAGGATGTGGTGGGCAGAGAGGATGCCCCGCACCCCATCCCTCTGAAGAAGAAGGTAAAAATTTGACTCCAAACTTAGGTGAAAAACAATTTGAAAGATGAGTGCCAGTTTAGTTTTCAATGTCAGTGAGAGGACCACGGGGAACTTTTATTTAGGTGTGCCGTCAAAACTTAGGTGCAGCTCTCGCCTTTCACCCTTTGACATCCCCTGGACACGCTGAGCATTATTTTCAAGCACTGCAGCTGCAGCCACGCGGGTCAGTGGCTTCTCATGCAGGCTCGTCTTCCTTTCCACAGTGATTACCTGTGTCTCAACCAGACACAGGGTCTACAAGATAACTCTGCCAGGTGAATAGGCTTGTACACCCAGAAGCAAGGCTTGGAGCAAAGCAGAAAGAAAACGAATTTTCTGCCTCATGCACAGCCCCTCTCTCTAACCTCAGGCATCTGCAATGTGGTCAGCCCGGCCAGAGCCTGATGCTGAAGAACAGCAGCAAGAGCAAATGCCAATCTTAGGAGGCACAATTATTTAGCACATGCTAAAAAGCCATACATACCACAGTTCATCACAATTTTTAAGACATTGGAAGAATTAGATGACACGGTGTAATTCATAAGCATGCATCCCAAGAAAAAGACAATGATATCTTTATACATCTGAGGATTGTAAAGATACACATCTTTAAAATGAGAGGAATTTATTCATAAACAGGCGGCGCATAAGCCTTGTCACGCCCATGTCCCCAAAGGCAGGCTTCCTGTCTAGACAAGCATTTTACCAAAGGAAAGAACATTGGCAAAATTTCCAAGTATCAACTTCTGACCCAAAGGATGAAATCAGGGCACGTTGATTAGTTCTAGTTTTTATTCAATTATTGATTCAATGTAGTAACTTCCCTCCTGACTCTCAGTATTCTTATTAACTGCAGGAGAGCAAAGGTTTATAGTGCCATCATGACAACTGACATCAAACCATTACTTTTCAGGCTCACACTGTGACAGTTTCTGTAAGGGATGAATTTTAGAGAAATATAAAGCATACTCACTGCCCTCTAGAAACTTCAGTCTGTTGTGGGAAGCAAGATAATGCACAGGAGTTAGAGAGCAAAGCAAGAACTACAATGAAATGGTTATGGAAATGATGGAACTTAGTTCTAGATTCCAATTCTAGACTCAGAAGCTGTTGAATCGTACAAAAAAATTCTTCTCATTTTAAAACTTCTCTGCTACTATTCTTACTACTCCATTATGGGTTGATTTTACAGATTAGAATATTTCTAAATGACCCAACCTAAGCAGAATTCTGGCCCTATGCCTCAATGCTTTTTTGAGAAAACAAACTCTTTTATTGACCGTTTGTTGTTCATTTATAGTATTGGCTGATGATAAGAGTATTTTTCCGTTAGGACTTAGGCAAACTGTTTTCCCAGGAAAGTCAGAATGAATACAATACAGTAATTGAGTTATTGTTGCCAGAGGCTGGATTGAAATCAATGACCTAAGAGTGAAACAACCTAAAAAGTCTGCTATTAATCTCCAGAGCTTTCCAAAAGTACTTTTCCTAATACTTGAAATTTATCACAAACAAATAACTCCCTTTTCATTTCTTTCTTTTTTTAATATGTAAAATAATGCAGTAAAACTCATCATATTTGTTATTCACAATTTCTAACCCCATAGTATTCCCATGTTTATGGAAGCGTTCTGCACTTTCATGGATAAGAATTGTCGACCTCAGAAAATAATTTTTTTTAATTGAAACTTGAAGAAATAATAAATGGGCCAATTTAATTTTTTATCGCTATCCTTTTTGGGGAAATGAACTTGCAACTACTTAAAATCAGTTGTTTACCCTCCTCTGGGGACTGTGACTTGCACGTTTGCCTGGAGAAAGTGCTGCGGTGGACTGCAGGCTGGGAGGGACCGAGAACGCCCTCCCTGTGGGCGGCAGCCCCTCCGAAGGGCAGCGCCGTGGTTCCCGAGAGCCCGTGACTGTGACGCTCTGTCTTAGGCACCTAGACTTGTACTTGGAGGCACAAGGCGCTCGTTTTATTAACCAAGGCCAGAAAGGCTCAGGTTCCGGGGGGTGTCATCACTTCGAGTCCAACCAAGTTACAAGGGCATGGACTTCGTAGCCCACAGGCCTGGACACAGACCCCGGCTCCAAGACCTGTGTGACCTTGAGCTTCTCGGCCCTCACCAGCAGACTTGAGCCAAATAATTCTTCCTTTGTAGGTAGGGTCAGTTGGAGAGTTAAATGCAGGTAACAGGACCTGACAAGGGTCCCGGCATATGACAGAGCAAGTGCCCAGGGACGTTCTTCAACACCCCCTTCCTCCCCTCAAGACCCCTCCACGCCGCCTCCGCGGCTCCCACGCGCCTCGCGCTGCTCGGTGTCGGCTCCTGTCTTGTTTGCTTAAGAAACACGCGGTACGCGCTGGAATCAGTGACCGCGGCGGGGGCAGGCACGGCCCTGCCTCCGCTCGCTGGGGGCGGGCAGGGGCGGGGGCCGGGCCCGCTGACCGCCCCGCTGTTCCCCGCAGAGGCGGTCGTCCCGGAGCCGACGGAGCCGACGGAGACGGAGACGGTGACGGTGGAGGAAGGGCAGGCGGCGGCGCTGCGCTGCGCGGGCGCGCGGGCCGGCACCGAGGCGCTGCAGTGGGTAGCCCCGTCGGGGTTCACCATCTTTCTGAACGAGCGTCCTGGTGAGTGAGGGCGAAGCGCGCTGCCCCTGGGCCTCGGCCCGAGGGGTTTCCAGACCGGCCAGCGGGGGGACTCCAAGCCGGCATGAGTCACCCGAGCGGGGGTGGGGGGTGCTCGGCCCCACCGACCGGCGCACTTGACTCCCTGCCCCCCGACGCCCCGCCCCTGTTACTTCGCCGCCGGCCCCTTCTTTGGAAGGGAGGCCTGAAAGGGAAGGGGGCTCCCATTACAAGGCACTTTTTCGTGCCTCCGTCTCGCCCCCACCGTGCCCGCAGGTCGCTTCCTGAGTCCCGGTGACCGTGAAGCGGCGAGTGGTGGCGGGTGGCCCCTGACGGCCCTGTGCGCGCACGCAGCCCCACCCCCACCCCCACCCCCACCCCTAGCCCCACCGCCACGCGCCCGCTGCTTTCTGTCCACGAGGCCTGCGCTAAACCCAGGGCGCTGCGCAGCCCTCGGCGCCCTGCGAGGGAAGGCCGGCCCCTCGCCCCACGGACGCGCCTTCCCTTACCAGGTGGGAAGGGAGCCTTTCTCCTCGGTTCTACTGAGATCTTATTGACACATAACATTAAATGCACACCATAAGGAATGGATATATGTATGTATTCAACATGACTACCTCAAAAAGTTTAGTTAACACCCATTACCCCCGCGTAGCTACTTTTGTTGGTTTTGGTTTTTTTTTTTTTCCTTGCACGGTTCTTAAAAGTCTGTTTAACTCATCGCTTTGAGCAGGATTTTATTACACCCTCCCCTGCATAATGAGATCATTTTATTTCTCCATTGAGTATGTCTGACTGCCACATACTTGGAAAGTCTTCAAAACAGCAAATTTCATCTTGCATTTAAAAAGCAGAGTCTCTAGAAAATGTAAAATGTTTTGAAAACGTTATTAGGTATTGCTATGTTACATGTAAAATAACTAAATATAATTATTTCAAGCTAAATTAACTATTAATACTAGATCACAATAAAGTACAATCGATACTAATTGTTAACAGTTCTCACAGAAAACCTTTAAGGAGAAAGCATTCTGTTATATAATGCTTTCTGTTGTTTTGTTTTGTTTGGGTTTTTTTTTAAACTTTAAAAGGAGATGGACATGATCAAGTGTCCATAGCCGAATGCCTGGACCTGGCTCAGTGGTTCCGGCCGAGGGTGACTCTGGCTGTAGCTGGAGAGCAGCGGAGGGGAGGCGGGGTCCGGCGCCGCCCAGCGAGCGGAGAGGCCAGGAACGCGTTGGACACCTTAGAGCGCGCCGAGCAGCGCCCGCAGCCAGGAGGCACGGACCCCGAGGTCAGCGGTGCTGCCGCCCAGATTTCCGCAATTCTAGCTCATGTCACATTGGGACACACAACCGTGGTTCCAGACGAGAAACAGCCTTCCTTGATCAGCCATTCAAGGTTTTAACTATTTTAGGCTTGCTCATATTGTAAATCTTAACAGAAAAGAAAAAAAGGAAGGAATGGAGGGAGAGAAGATGGGAGGATTAGCTAAGGGACCTTTGACTTGAGATGAACTTCCCAGGTTAATAGAGAATCAAGAGGAACACTTGCTATTGGCCGGAGCTTGCCTTTTTTCTTTCTTTTTTTTTTAAATCCCCCATTGGCTAATACCTGGAAAGACTAAGTCATAATCTTGGGAGAACTTCAAATAATAATGAACTTTTAAAAATTAGAAATAAAAAGCACCAGCTGGAGCAATGAATATCAATGCATTTATATTCCATTCTTTACATTCATTCTGACAAGACAACATCAAATAAATCAGATTTCAAAAAAAGTAAACCATAGAGGGGCATTTTTCATAATGTAAAAATAAATTCTTTAAAATTGTCCTGCAACCTGAACCCTCCCCCAGCATAGTATGCTTAATTTCCTACAAACACAAATGAAGCAAATTGTTTATTTCACAGAAACCAGCATCAAAATATTTCATTTCTGTGCTTAGTAAGCGAACTGCACTTAGTAAGTGAACTCAGTGTAAGGTGTGCCCTGTGTCCTTTAGCAGGTGGAATTCAAGAGCCGTCCCTGAGAGTAATCGCTCCGCTGAGAGTCTGCGTTCATCCGATGCCTTTTTTCATAACAACTCTTCCCTCCGCCCCCTACAGCTTTAAAAAGTACCAAATACCAGCTTCTTCATTACTCCACCAACCAGCTCTCCATCAGCCTGCAGAACGCGACCCCGCAGGATGAAGGCGTGTACAAGTGTTTGCAGTACGGCAACGCCGTGAGAACAAAGGAAGTGAAGGTGACTGTGCTGGGTAAGGGCCTCGACGCCGGCACAGCCGCAGCCTGAGGTCGCATGTTACACTTGACATTTTAGTTTAAAAATGTGACCTCCATCAAGCTAGTACCTGGGCACCTCTGCCATCTTCTGTTGAAAGGAAACAGAGAGGAGCACTTTGAGTCGCAAGCCCTAGATTAAAACGTGAATTCGTGAAATTCATCTTAGGCATCAAGTAAATATTCTCTCTGAGGAACTGAGAAGAGAGAATTACTATTTGATGCCCCGGGCCTACGTGCCAGCACCGCGTTGGCCCTGGAGAATCGAGGGGACGGCGGCGCCACCTCTGCCCACCCTCTGACCATCAGGAGGTCGCACACTAGTTTAGGGAGGCCGAGCATGCGTGTCAATAAGGTAGGACATTATGGCAGCACACCCTAAGGCAGAGGAATTCACATGTAACTGTGCTGGACAGTAAGCTCACATCCTCTGCCCAAGCAATTTCCTCTCCTCCTTTGGGAGTGGGGGTGGGGCGGGAGACAAGGGGAGGGGGTGGCAGCCTCCTGATTGGCTGGAACTTGCTAGGTTCTGTATATACGGTCAGTTTGCCTCTGCTCAAGTCTTACTATCTTTACATTTTTGCTTTTTGTGGCAGAACGGCTCACTTAAAAACATAATTCCACATACCACACACAGGAGTTCCTTAAATTTCTCCTATCGTAGTACAATGTGGTGCCTTCCACAAAGTAATGACACGGTGACCAAGTGTCAGGAAAGGCGTGGGCCCGGGAGGTGGTTGAGAACCAGCGTCACTCAGCCCAGGGGCTGTCTTTGCCCGACCCCCGGCCTCCCCTGCCGGCACTCAGGCCCAGGCTGGCTGTGTGCCCTTCCGGGCGACCGCAACACCCATGCACGCGCATGCCTCCCTCACTGCACTTCAGCACACGGGCTTTTAATGAACACTTCAGGGGCCAAGTCTATCACCAGGCTCCTAGTTCTTTAACAGGCTTTTGCTTTTTCCATGTTCATATCGCCAGCATTTGACACATCTAGTGCACGCGTGGAGCCTGCTTTACAATGTCTCCACAGCAGGTGGATTTGTGCAGAAATGTGGGAGGGTGCAGGTCTGGACCGCAGTGTGAAGGAGAATGGGGAGGAGCAAGAAGTCTAACTAAAAAGTATTTCCAACACAAGAGTAGGAGAAAAAGGGATCAATGACCCCTTTGATCAATGATCAACTCTTTTATACGACAGATGGAGTTTTGATGTTGGGAGAAGACAGAAGTAACTTCCCTCGAAGTGAATCATAGACTCACAAGGTTTAGAGCTGATAAACTCATAAGCCAATTTCTTCATGTCAGACAAAGAAAGCAATAAACCAAGAAATAGGGGAACTAAACCAAGTTCCTACAATTGGTTGGTGACAAAGGTGGAGCTAGAATTCAGGTCCCTATTCCTTACCTAGTGTTCAACCAATGAAATATAGTCATATATCAAATGTAAAAAGTGCTTTGTAACAGTTTGGGAATTTTCAGGGACTAATCGCACACTGGGTAACAAACGTTCTCACTATAGCTGAAGTAGCTTCACAGGCACCGAACAGCCCTTCAGCTGGGTTCTGGGAAAGGTGAAGTGAAAAACAGGCTTGTGATTTAGACCATTCCCTGCAATGGCCCCTGCAGATTATTAGGCTTTGTGCTTTGCTGGGATACGTAAACCAACGTAGTAAGCACAAAAAAATCCATTTTCCCCCCCTAGCAACTCCTTTCAAGTCGAGCCTGGAAGCTTCAGTCATCAGAACGCAAAGCGGAGAAGAACATGTTATCCTTAGGTGCGCCACCACGAGAAGCAAGCCCCCTCCTCAGATAACCTGGCTCTTGGGCAACGGCGTGGAGCTCTATGGTAAGTGGAGAAAGGGCTCTCTCCTTCGTGTTCCTTCCTCAATTTCCAGAGGATTTTTCAATGTTCTGGCACCCTCTGGTGGCAGACAATGCCATTCAATAATCCATCAGTTCTTTTCCAGACAAATTATTCTTATGGCCAATCAGTATTACTTCTCAATCTTGAAAGGCTAATCTCAAATAACATGATTACTTGTTTCACTTAAAACAAAGTAGAAATCTAAAATGTAATATTTATTTTATTACCTTTAAAACCTGACAAAATTTTATGAAATGAAAGATAAAATAGAGCCATTAACTCTGAGCATCAACTTTTTAGTAGGCTTAAAATTGAAAATACATTTAACTTAATACATGATGTTTCTTATAGAGTGCAGCACTGTGTCATACCCTCAATGACAAATACAAATATTATGGTAACAAAGAATCTAAACATTTTGTTTGAAGCAGATAATTTGTTATGTGTGGAAACTATAATTTGTTCATATTTTAATAAACGTTACACTTGATTTTACATAATCATTGGTCCTTGGAGCTGGGAGGAATCCTTTGTTGTTAAGGAAACCAAAGGTCAAATGGAGTTTAGACAGAAAACATCTAAAATCCAGATCCGGTTCTCATCCGGGGTCAAATCTACAACATTAAAGATCTCCCTTTAATTTGCCTTATTTATTAAATCAGAGTGACCTGTGTCTTTGCACTTCACAACAATGTCAGGCTGTCCCTCGTGCATATTGTTGCAAGCTTGGGATTGTTGTCTCAGTCGTGAAGGGTTTATAGAAACCCATCCACACTGTTCGCCTGCTTCCCTTTGTGACAAGGGCCAGGTACATACCACGCAGCTGCCTGTGCTCAGGATGAGGTTAGAAATCTAACAGGTTTGCCAAGATGTCAAGGCCCTTGGTTTCTGAAGAACCAAACCCATCCCATAGCGTCAAATAGTCACAACCTCATGCACCACCCTAAATTGCCCCACAGGTGAAACGTCTCATCAGTTTGAAGCTGACGGGAAGAAGTGTAACAGCAGCAGCACACTCAGAGTCCACGCACATGGCAAAGACTCCACCGTGGGCTGCATCGTCCGACACCCGGGTTTCCAAGGACGGAGGCTGATAGCATCTTCCCGGTTTGAAGATTTGGGTAAGAACAACTGATGACATCTACACTCATTTTTAATTTACCTCAGTATTACACTATCACACAAAATTAAATAGAGCGGGAAAGTCTTTCAGAGTGAGATTACTGTCAACAAAACTCTCCTTAATAGCAAACTCTTTCAATGATTGAAATTCCTCCAGCCGGGCAGCAGGCTTGCTGCTGCTCCGGCCTTCAGAAAAAGCCTGGTCGCTCAGAACGCCGAGCCCAGTGTCAGGGGCAGACGGTGTCATGCTTGCTTTTTGAGAGTGGCAGCTAGCAGAACTTGGCCTTACATCGTCTTATTGTAGTCTTGCTTGGGGAGAGATCATGTGAAGCATGTGATCTTTATATTTGGCTGAAAAGGAGATAATATTAACTAAACTTGTCTCGATCATTTTATGTTAACCTAAAGCACTCACTCAGTGACCTTAGGTCATCATTGTTCTTTAGATATAGCTTGTTAAAACGGCTTTGAAGGTTTTACAATGGTTTAACCATGCTAATATTCTGAGCAAAACACAAAATAATAAAAATGAACAACACATCAAGTATTAAATGCGGAGTTGCTTCCATTTTCAGAATCTCTGTTCTCTGATTCCTTCACCATAAGCGAAAGAAATCATTTTTAAACTACATAAAACTTTTTGAGCTGAGAAGCGTCCTGTAAGTAGCACAAACCCCACATCTGTCACTACTTCCCGAAGTGCAGGACCCCCTCTCACGCCAGTGAAGGGGGAGCCTGTTGGATGGCGGTGCCTTTGCTGGAAGAGCATCTGTCAGACGGAATAGCTGCCCGTGAAAGGCACCTGCCCGTCCACCTCACCGTGGGACGCTGCTGGGCTGCCCGGGCTGCTGCTGCCCTGGTCAGAAGTCCCCGCTCTGCCTCGGGCTCCCCTGCTCTGGTGATGCAGGGTCTGGCACAAACAACGCCCCTTTTTTAATACAAAACCTTTTATTACAAAGTCATAAGCATGTAATTCTGTAACATAGTATCACACTCAAGCACACCATGTGACATTTCAGGTGAAATGTTCAAATTAAAACTGTAAGTCATCACACCCATATTATTACCCTGGCAACCCCACGCCGGCAGGCGCAGCTTCTGCTGGGCCCTGTGTCGTCCCCCATCTCTACCGCGGGCTTTCCACGGCTCCGCTCCCCCCGAGACCCGGGCACTTCCCGAGGCAGCTGCAGGTAGGGGCTCACAACGCGGAGACGGGCCAGGCTGCGATCTGACGCGAAAGGCGCTGCCTTGTTAGGGTATAGGCCTCCCAGCCTCGCCCGCACCCGAGGAGGGGCACGTGGGGCACACAGGGGACACGGCAGGGTCACCAAGAGGAAAAGGAGACTTGACTTATCTGGCGCGTCTGAAGGACAAGCAGGTCGTTAAATAAGAGAGCCAAGAACATTGATTGACGCGCCACGTGCGAGGCCAGAAAGGAGACGTGAGGCACGGTCTTCGCAGTGATTGGTTTCATCTCTTTCGTGTTTCAAACCAGGGGTCTTGCTTTCCTATTGCTTATTGGAAGAGGGAATACAAACAAAAAGTTCAGCAACTGTGGAGCTAAATTTTTAATATTATTTAACATTTATAAAATTAATAAATCTTTGCTATTTAGCGGTTATAAATAGTCGTTGTAGCTGGTAGACATTAAACTGATACAGCAGAGGACTGTGACATCCTGACCGACTCGAAAGATAAATCCGTCACAACGCTCCAGCATCCGCCCGATGACAGCGGCAGTCGGAGCGGGTGCACCGAGTCAGCGCAGAGGGCGAAGCAGAGCAGATACAAACTCTAGTGAGATACACACACACACGCACACACGCACACTTTTGTATAAAACATTAAAATAACATATATATTATAAAATATATTGAATATGCAATATATGGCTTATATATACTCATATACATACATTATATATGCTGTTGGATTTTAATATAGATAATTATATATTTATGTGCAAAACTGATTGTATGTAACTACATTATATACCCAACAGCATATATAATGTAGTTACATACAATCAGTTTTGTACATAAATATATAATTATCTAAATTTACATAGAGTACATTATTCTAGAAGAGCTCATCTATTTTACTATTTCTCCAATGTTTCCTTAGTTCTTCTTCCTTTCTCAGAGCTCCTGCATGCAATTCAGGCTTTTTTATATTTTCAAAAAAATTTTAAGACAATAAATTTAAAACCACAGCAATTTAAAGAAAAAGCTGAGAAGTATTCACCAATTTTATAAAAACATTACACACCTATCACATATCAGTATCAATATTTGCAAATGCGCAGGCACCTTTCAATGGATTCCTTGGTTGCAAGTCTTTCCTAAGCTGCTCTCCTCTGTGCTAAGCTCAACCTTTGGAAACATTTCCAAGGATTGTTTTCTATCATCCAATAACATTTAGTAAGCATTGTGCTTAGTAAATAGACAGGCATTGTGTTAACCATGTTGTATGAATGAACTCATTAATTTTTCACAAAAAGAATTCCAAGAGGTTAGTGCTGTTAGTATCTTCATATTACAGGTATTAAAAATAAATGAGCTTTGGGGCGATTAGGTATCTCGTTCAAACTCATCAGCAAGCAGGTGACAGCACTGGATTTCAACCCAGCCTGAGCCTGACTGCAAAGCCACCTGGCAGCTAGAGCAGCGAGGCACGTGAGGGGACGGACCGCTGGGGCAGGAGGGGCAGTGACAGCCGTTGGCTGAGGGCCACCCGGTCCCAGAGCGGTGCGTCCAAGCCAGGCCGCTCCGCGCACGCGCAGCAGCAGCGCACAAGCTCCCAGGGCGGCCCGAGCCGCAGAGCGCGCAGTTGGCAAGTTTCTGCAAAACTTCCAGGAGCGGGTGGCAGCCAAGTCCACTCTCCAACCTGTTGTACTGAGCACAGTGTGAGCCACATTCTCCTCTGTAGTTGCAAAATGTTGGCTTTCCCCTTTCCTAGTGACTGCTCAGAAGACAGCTTCGGGCGTCCTGGAGAACAGCTCTGCGTCCTTGCGAGACCCCGGGCCGTCCATGAGCACCGGTAAGTGTGGACGTCATCAACACTTTTTAAAAAAGCATGCCTCTTCGGGAAGCCAGTTTTCCAATTCTAAGTTTTAAAGACACTTTTAATTTGTACCAAGACGGTGCAGGACTCCCTCCACCTTGTGGTGACCTCGAGAAGCGCCACAGTTAACCATCAGGGGGTTCATTAGCAGTTCTCTCTCTCTCTCTCTCTCTCTCTCTCTCTCTCTCTCTCTCTCTCTCTCTCTCTCTCTCTCTCGCACACACACACACAACGGTGACATTGCCGTTTCCACTGTGGCAAAGGGCAAGGTAGAAGTCACTGATGGGGAGACTTGTTTCTTTCTTTGTCCATGTAGAAGAAACCAAACAAAAAATAAAGACTTTGTATCAACAAAGAGCAAAGAAGCAGGACCTGGAGACTTGATGTTTTTGTCACAAACTCATGTTTGAAATTTCATCAGTTACTTGGTTGTGAGAACTCAGGCAGCTTTTGATGACAGCATTGAACTATAAATGCAGAACAATTTAGAAGGCCGAGATTATAATCCCAGTTTTTCAGACAGTGAACCCAGGACAACGATCCTCTATTTCATCTGTAGTTGTATTTCACCCAGCCCAGTCCCCAGCACCGGCCGGCACTCAGAAAATGCAGTGCGGGCGCAATCACCCCCGTCGCTGGCAGCCGCACTGTGGGTCCCGGCAGGGGGCAGAAATGCCTGCCCTTCTCCCCGTCCAGGCACAGTCTCGGCAACAGTCTGACGCGGTGGGACAAGGGCTTTCATGTCGTTACCTTGTCCCTTGTTCTGAGTATCAGATCACATTTAACATTTTTTATCTTGAATAATATTTAAAAGTAAATGTTTGGAGTTTTTAAAAACTGATAGGTATATGTACCATATGCTTTTTTGAAGGACAATGGAAATTGAAAATACTGTGAAGTGAAACAGCCACATTTCTTGCTTTAATAATCCAGTATTTTACAAATGTTTAAACTCTAGCTGTCTTTAAATTGGCTTATACCATCACCAAACAACTCAGCTATCTGCTCTGCCTTTTCATATGTAACACAGGTTTTTAAAATATGATTTCTAAAATTCCTTTCAGCTTTTAATTTCTACAATTTTATTTCTGCTAATAATGCCCATTTTCAATAGAAGATGGGTGGTTTCATGCAACAGAAAAAAATATAGAGGAAAACAACAAAATGAGAAAAAAATTGTGTGATGTTTATCATTTTTCTTATGTAACAAAAACATCACAGTGCATCCCACTCCTGGGGCAGGGTGGGAGGGGACAAGCAGAGGTTTGAATGACAGCTGAGCCTTCTCCTCAACATAAAAATCATCGCTCCGTGCCTTTCGGGCTGTAGGCTTCCTTCCCTAAAGCTCGGGATGCCCTTCTTAACTGTTCGGTTGTTATCTCAAAGCCTCCCGAGGGTCTTCTCTCTAAGAGGCTTGGTTCCGGAGCGAAGTGTAAAACGATGGCTTTAATTTCGGGCTCTGAGTTTCCTGGCTCTGCCACTGTTGGCAGCAGGACTTTGGACAATTTGCTTAACTTCTCCAAAACTGTTTGCCCAGAGCTGTGGTGAGAAATAACATATACCAAATGCTCAGGCCTGGAAGAGAGTAAATGTCCAATAAACATTTGCCTTAAAAAATAAGGGAAGTAAGCCAGACCATTCACAATTAATTTTGGAAGAAGTCAGGAGTTCCAAAAGGACCTTGTTGTTTTGTGAGGATCACTTAGTTTGGTTTCCCAAGCTGCTTTGCTGCTGTGGATGACTCTGTGTACACACACGGTGCATGCACAGTCGTGTGTACAGATCACCTGTTTCTTTCTCCTCAGTCGCGGTGATGGAAGATTTTGGGACGTCGGAGACTGACAAGGAAAAGGAAGAACAAACCACTCCACAACCGGCCTTGACCACTGGTGAGCGTCCCCCTCCGCGTTTAGAGTAAACACTTGAGGGTTCCACCTCTTACTAAGTCCAGTAGTGTTTTTCAGTCCTTGTTTCCCTCGGCCCTTCTGCTGGTTAATCACTCCCTCGCTCCATGACTTCGTTGCCCCCTGGCTTCTGTGATACGCTCTGCTGGTCCTGTGACTTTTGCTGACCCCTCCTTCTCTGTGTCCATGAGCAAACTTCCCTTCCTCCTCTCGCTGCTTATAGACACATGTGCTTCTGACTGCACTTGCTGGTCCTTGGTTGTTTCCTGAATTCTTAAAGCGCGCACCCATTCCTAAGATTACGCCTGCTGCAGTCAGGCAGTAGATGTCTTACCTGTATTTCCAGAACATTCTCCTGAGCATTAGTCCCTGTTTCATTCCATTTCCTACATATCTCTAGCTGAATTTTTTGTTTCTCCTCAAATCCCACATTGCTAAAAACCGAACAGCGTCTTCTCCCACAAAACCAGCTTGTCTAAAGCAGGCCCACCCCTCGGTGTCCTCCTTCACTGCTGCCTGTGCACGTGTGCGCCTGCACACGCCGTGAGGTCAGTCAGTCCCCAAGGACTTCTGAGTCTTTGCTTCCAGGTGCTTTGCTCACTCCCAGCGCCACCGCCCTGACCCAGACCCTCCTCGTCTCCGGCGTGCGGAACTGTGACTTCCGCGCCTCCTTTTGTAGTGCATTTTTAGCCCCTTACCATCCAGACATCCCGTGGCACTCTTTACACCTGTGTTCAGGAAACCGCAGTGGCTGCCCGTAGTCTACGATGCAGAGCATGAGCCTTAACACCCCCCTTAAGGTGCACCCGACCAGCCCCCTCCACCGTTCTGTCTCTCAAGTCCCGGCGAGAACGCCTGTTTCTGAAAACGTCACCTCATTTTGATGGCCCTGCCCTCGTTTATCCTAACTGGCCCCAATGAAAAGAAAGTCCTCTTCAGTCCTCTTCTTACCCCTTTTTTAAATGTCGGTATCTTCACGGAACACTTTCCTGACCAACTCAGGAACCTGTCCTGCTCTGAATCCCTGAACACATTATTATATTAACACACGTGGGTCTAAAATTTGGCATAGATACCTTCTGTTTGTTTTCATTCATCTCTTTGTTTACTCATAGAGAGAACTATTCCCAAATAACAGGGATTGTGCCATTTGCAGCTCCAAGCTTGATGTCCCCCACAGGCTGGCTCCCCCTGAGGGCGTGAAGCTGAAGTGAGGGAGCCAGGGCAGTTAGCAAAGCCAGAGCCCAAGGCGTCAGAAGTCTGGGTTCAGAAAGACTGTTAGGGGCTCGACTAGTCTATTTCCAAAAGCCTTTGTGTGAGACCACATTTAACTTAGCCACGATCAATAAATATTCACTTTATTTGCATAGTTTTTCAAACTTCTTAACAACCTCTCTTGCTAAACAACACTTTGCTAAAAAGAGAAAATTACTCCTTATAGTTTTGAACCCCCTGACTATAATTTAAGTCAATATTCTCACATTTTCTTCATAAATGAAAAATAACACTCAATATCTATATAACTTGAAAACCTTTTTCAAGTCATCCCACAAAATGGCTTTGTTTGTAGTCTTGTTTTCAGAGACTGAATAGGATGGGTTTCTTTACCTTCAGGGTAAAGCTCCTCTTCATCTCTTCATCCAGGCCGTGTGTTCGCCTGCACTGCACTGTGGAAGTATCGGGTATGCTCCTCAGTGAGCAGAGAAAACACCTCAAACTATCTAAACTCTTTTCATTGTCCTCATAGGCGCAAACCCTCAGTTTCAAGCATTGATGAAGACGCAAAGTGGCGTACTGCTGCTCTCTCTTGTGTCCATCCTCCTTTTCATACTCTTCATCATCGTCCAGCTCTTCATCATGAAGCTTCGGAAAGCACACATGGTATGGAAGAAAGGTGAGCAGGCAGAGAACCAGATGGAGGCCACAGGATGCAGAACGGCTGGCGAGCAAAGAGGAAAATTCTGTGCACTAAAACTTTTCCGTTATATGATGCACAAATCTATTTGCTCAGTGTTGCCACTCAAATAAGCAGCTGTTTGCTTTACAGTAGACAAGGGATGTGAACCTCCAGGAGCTACAGGGAGAGAGCGCAAGACCAAGAGAAATTAGAGGAGCTCCAGGAACTGGAGTTATATCATAAAATCTTCTGTTCACAAAAGGATCCAAAATAGAGAGCTTGTCCATCCATCCACCCACCCATCCACCCATCTACCCAATACGCATTCCCTGAGCCGTGGTTCTTCCAAGCCCTGCACTCTCCCAAGCCCTGGGGATCTGTCTGTCCACAGACAGACCAGGCCCCTACTCTCAAAGTTCCAATTCTAGGAGTGGTCAATCAAAGGGCCACCATAATGGGCTGTTTCAGCCCAATTTTTACTTTGAAAGGATGCACTCGACTTCCCTCAACCATAATATGTAATTTTTTTCCTAAGCATACTGATTAAAAAGTTGTTATTAGATACAAAAATATATGTAACTAGCATAGAAAATACCTATTAAAATACATAGACTCAACATTGATCAGAGCTAGAAGGGACCTTCGAAGCTATCCACAATAGCCCATCTACTTAATTTGTTCCATAAACGTGTGTCAGGATTAAGTCCCCTCTTTAATTCCGAGCAGTTACTTAGCCCTCTGTGGTCAGCAGCCACAGGATGGCTGCTGAGCACCTGAAACGTGGCTGGTCCCTCTTGAGATGTCCCATAAGGATAATACACACACCCAGTTCTGAAGACTCCATACACACATGCGCACACGTACACAAGAACATAATATATCTCATAATAATATATGGGGTCTACTAGTTAAATGAAATGTGTTACCAACTTAATCTCACCTGCTTCGTCTTCCTCTTTGAGCATGGCTGCTAGGAAAGTTAAGGTTGCATGTGTGACTTGCGTTATAGTGCTGTTAGGCAGTGCTGACTCAGCGTCACATAGCTCCAACACCTCTCTGACCGAGAACTCATTATGTCTCAAGGCAAAACATTACATCTTTGAATAGCTCTAATCCTTTTAAAAGTACTACTTATCGGAGTTTAAGATCAATCTCTCTAGATATTCAGAAGGACTAATATTCTCATGATAAGTAGACTTAGAAACAGGGTCTGGCTTTTTGGTGCACCTGCACAATAGGAAATGCTGTAGTGTGGTTTCCTGACATCCCATTAATGCTTCATCCCCAGAGTTCTTCAAGGGCTATTGAAATAGTTCCTTTCCAGAGGACACTATTTGATTCTAACTGCTGTTCTTTGATGTCCACAATTCTTATACTGCCTAGCACATGCCCACATGCCTGGACGACTCATAGTAAAGAGGAAAAAATGATTTGTTGAATGAATGAGGACATGAGGTATGGGAGGGGGAATGATAAGCCCACTATTGTATAAAAACAAGGGTATATTATTCATACATACATTTCTACATATAGATGATATCTGTGGCACCTGAAATTAATGAATTATTTTTTTTTCTTGCAGAAAATGAAATTTCAGAACATACTCTAGAAAGTTATAAATCAAGATCAAATAATGAAGAAACATCATCCCAAGAGAAAAATGGACACAGTAAGTCAACCTTGTGACCTGAGATTTGAAAAATAAGCTTCATTGATTTATCTTTAAGGGGGAGGGTAAAAATCAAAGTTTGATTTTTAGCTCTAGAAAGTCGACTGCCTTGTAGAACTTAAGGAGGCGCATCTTAAACAATGAGAAGAGCAGTTCAGTTCGCGTAGCCGACGACTTTGGAAGCCACCCCCAAGGCCTCGCCGACACACAGGCACAGCTCTGTACGGTGTCCTCTCGTGCCCCAGAGTGGCCCACACTCGTCCTTACCCATGGAGCCCTACGCCTCGCTGTCATTTTGGGCGTATCGGTTTAGCTGCGACAGTACACCTTCAGGTGGCAAATCGGCGGGTTTACTCTCTGTGCACCCCCGATCCTATCACAGGGCTTGGCACAAGGGAAGCGTTTGATTAATTTATATTGAATAAATGAATGTAAGGCTTAACTAACTCAAGCAGAAATGTGTCAGTTTTGGGATGACTTCATTGCAATTTCTCAGGGAAAGAAAGAAAAGTTTTATGTAAAGAAAAAAATTTTAAAGGGCCTAACAGGAAAGGGGAGAGAGAGAAAGAGAGAATTCTCGACAGAGACCCAGCAGACAGACGTGGATGTAAAGGAATAATCTTATACCTTCCAACCATGTTGTTTCCTCCATGCAAGTTAGCTGTGAGAAATGCAACGAGCTTCGCAGCTAGTTTCTGTGGGTTTTATTGAGGTTTTTGTAGGAAACATGTCTTTCACAGCACTGCTGCCTTGTTTTGACCTGGCAGGGCGGGAAACGGAAGGAGATGGCTGCACCAGCAGGGAGGGGGCCCGGGATGGACTGTGTGGGGCCTGAGGGCGGCAGGAGAAAATGTGTGTGAGCCACACACGTTTGCCGTGTTGTCGCCCATGTCTCCACACTCGCCTGGCAAGCAGGAGAATGATGTCAGCATAATGTGTGAGCTGTGTTGCTTCCCGGGTCCATTTTCCTAGGCAAGGCCAACCCAAACAGTAGAATCATAGCCTTTAGCAGGAAAAGGACAGCCCTCAGTGCAGCTGCCGAACAAGCAGAAGTCCTTGCAGTTCAGCCTTAAGAACATTTGCAGTGAGCACCTGCTCCTCAGAAAGCTCCATCCAGAGGCCTGGGGGAGGCTCCCTTTCCTCTGGGCTCTGATTTCCGCTCCCCCTCCTCACCCTCCCCCGCTCTCCGTGCCTCAGACCCAGCATTTCAACTAGATTAGGTTTTGCCTTTTATGAGATGCCCCCTGGCACCGTTCAGTCTGTGGAGAGAGTCGCAGAGGCTGTGAGAGGTCCAGCCCTGTGTGATTTTCCCCATAAGCCCTGCTACTTACAGTTTGAAATTTTGCTGAAGACAATGTATCTGTTCCCCAGCGACCCATGTTATTTTATAGCAGAAATGTCTGTATATTTTATTTCAAGTTTGTGAATATATTTTTTATTTCAAAAGACTTTTGAAAGGTTAGGCGATAGCCCTGACTGGTGTGGCTCAGGTTGCTGGGCATCGTCCTGCAAGGCGAAGGGTCCCCGTTTAGATTCCCGGTCAGGCCCGGGCCACGCCGGGGCTGGGGATTTGGTCCCTGTAGGGGAGCGTGTGAAAGGCAACCGATCGATGTTTCTCTCTCACATTATGTTTCTCTCTCTCCTTTTCTCCCTCCCTTCCCCTCTCTCTAAAAATAAACAAATAAAATCTTGTAAAAAAAAAAGTTAGACTATAACAATGCATTCAGATCCATGAATTTAAGATTCAATTTTTAAGACTAACATGTAGGCCTAAAAATACCATGTGCAGTGTTTCAAATAAAGGGGTGCGATGCTGTTCAAAATAAATTTTCATCTTCAACATGTTTCTCTTTCAGCGTCTCGTTCTAGGAGCTGCATGGACTACATCACACAGCTGTACTCAGAAGCAAAAACAAAAAGGAAGGAAAACGCACCGCATTCAAAATTAAATGGACAGCATGCTGCTCACATACCAGAGAGCACTGTGTAGTGCCTCCCGCAAGAGAAAACGTGATTTCAGGGCAACCACATCGTCCGCTCTGTGGACAGCCTGTGGGAAGCAGCGCGATTGCTGTGCCAGAAAAACATGCCTTGACTGCAGCACAAGATGGTGTCCTTCCACAGACATCGGCCCCAGATTCAGGGCAGCAAGATGAGGCCTAAACCCCGGACATAAAGCTTCATAGTTTAAGAACTAAATAACCTGTTACCCTGACACTACTTCAGAGCACGAAGATGCCACTGAACCCCGGGTTCTGGGTCAACGTGACCCACTAACATGTTACTGTGAAAGAAACAGCAGTTTTTAGATGAAACTGGTGGAACTCCTTAAAAAAATAAAATTAAAAGAAAATCTTTCCTTCTGGTCTCCAAATAAAGAATTCTGAGGTGAAAAGGTCTTAAAAACTGTCTCCAGTCCTCGGAGCTTGGTTTCGAGATGAACTCTAGGATGGAACCAGCAGGTACTCTGCCAGGAAGAAGGGGCCGTACCTGTGGCTGAGCCAGGCGCCCAGGAGTGCCTGCGAGCGGGTGAGCCAGGCGCCCAGGAGCACCCCAAGACACGTGTGAGTGCAAGGTGGGCCCCAAGGTTCCACCCCCTCGAGCTTTCTCACTGCATCACAGAAGCTGATCTGGTGACAGTTTTTAAATGATGTTTCATTACAAAAATGTCCAAAGAAAAATAATGTGTTTGATTAAATGATTATTAACCTAATGGATGCTTTTTAAAAATTATTTAACAAAGAGCAGAATATATTTGTTTTTCTACTGGCTGTATTCCTTCTATTTCCTACTTTGACCTTCACATGTGAAAGTGACATATCTTTTTCCCCTATCATTTAAGGTAGAGTAAAATCTGACATTTATGACATTTCTCATAGCTTAGATCTGAATAAACTAATCTTAAAATAATATGCTAATATGCGCCCCCAAGCTACCACACATACTCATATTATGAGTCTGTAATTTGTTACAGGGTCAGATCCAGTTGAGCTCATTTTTTCTCGATAACTTTTTTTTAACAATCACAGAATTACTGAAAGATGTAAAGAGACAAAGCACTTTTCCCTCTGAACGGCTTGAAAGTAAGTTGACACGATGCTCCATCACTCCCCAAGTATGAGAGTGTGTCCTTCCCACCAATGAGAATCCTGTCCTGTGGGACCACAAGGCAACCACCGAAATCAGGAAGTTAGCACAGCGGAATCTCTAGCAGCAGCCCTCAGACCCCGCCCCGCTCATGGTTCCCCCATTGTCCCAGGGCACCCACTGGAGAACCCCATTTCATTTTAGTGTCACACTTTTTGGCACAGTCCCACAGTGTTTCCTTCACTTCCATGACCTGGACATTTTTGAAGATTACAGACTAGTTATTATGTAGACTGCCCCTCAGTGTGGCTTTGTCTGATGGCTCCTTATGATTATATTCAGGTCATGCAATTTTGACAGGACTATTGAAGAAGCAATGTCTCCTCACATTGCATTTTATCTATCCCGGTCTTGGTGATGGGTACTTTGATCAGTTGACTAAGGTGTCTGCCAGACTTCTCACATGGTTACTCTTTTCTCCTCCAAGACAATATTGTATGGGGTGATGCTTTAAAACTACGTAGATACCATATTCCTCATCAAACTTCACATTATTCATGTATTATTTATCTGTATGGAGTCCTGGTTTCCTCTGTCACTCAGTGGGTTACCATCTGTTACTATCAAATTAATCTGTTGCTAATTGCTGATCACATTGTGGAAACAGGCCCTTGTGTCCTGTTCTCAATTTCCGAGCACTTTCTTACTTTCTGGCACAAGATTTTCCAGACTTATCTTAGATTGTCCCTGCTCCTGCCTTGTAATCAGCCATTTCTCCAAGGCCCCTGGTTCCACTGACTGGAAAACGGTATGGAAAAGGCAAGACCCAAGGGCTGGGTGTACTCATTGCCTTTGAAGTATCATTGTTTTCAAGTCATCTCAGTAGAGAAAACTAGGAAATATAGTTATACATACAGGTATAAATGCGCCTGTGTGTGTGTATACAGTATTTAAATTTATCTGTTGAAAACCAATTAGGCTATCTTCCTTTCTGTACTTGTAAGCACCGTTTCTGGGAAGCCTGGCTTTCGTGCCTCTTAACACATCCCGCCCTTGCTCTCGCCCGGCGTGTAAGCAGCCTCCCGGCTCCGCCGCCGCCGTTCTCCTGGCGTTGCCGCCCCCTCTTCCTGCCCCAGCCCCGCCCCGCGGTGCCTGTCGCCCCCCAGGGGAGGGCCCCGCCCCGGGCTCGGGCTCTGCCCCCGCGCCGCTGCCCGGCAGCCCAGGCTCCCCGCTCCCCTGGGACGCGGCCCCGCCCCGCCCCCCGACGCCCACGCGGAGGCCCCGGCCGGACGCCCCGCCCCGGTGCCCTCGGGCCCGCACGGTGTGCGGAGAGGGACGTGCGCCGGCGCCCCGGTTTCCAGGGGAGTCTTCCTGGACGAAGACAGCAGGTGGCGCGGGCCGCCAAGCTTTCGTAGCAGCTCCGAGGCAGAGACCGTTCACACGCCCAGTGTGTTCCTGACTAAACGCCGAGGGCGGAGCCGCGTCGCTCTGCCGGGGAGCTCGTGGCGGCCGACGGCGCGGTGCCTCGGCTGGGGCCGCCCGAGTCGGCGTCCGCAGGCCGCTCGGGAGGCCGGCGGCTCGGCCGCGGTCGGAGCGAGCGCCCGCGGGGCTTCGCGCGGAGTCGCGGCTGGTGCTCGGGGCCGCGCTCAGCGGGCTGCGGGCCGGGCGTCGGGGGCTGCGCGCCTTAAAGCTCCTTGGGTCGCTCCAACAGCTTGGGGGGCCCTGATGGAGCACAAACGAAAATTTTAAAATCCCGGCTGAAGTAGAAATGGTGTCATTAAAGCTGAATTAGAAATAGTGTTTAGAAACACTGCATTCTCCTGGAGACAGGAACGTGAGTCGCCCAGTCCGCCCGCCGCGGCGCTACGCCCGCGGGCCCAGGCCCCGCGCTTTCTGCGGTGAGGACCCCCGGCCTAGAGAGCGCCTGGCCTGCGCCGGCCTCTCCGGTGGGTCGGGGACACGGAACAGAGTAAAACAACGTTCCTGGAGGACCCGCTCTGAGCCAGACGCTTTTTACGGGTAATCTGATTCAATCACCGTAGCGATCTCGCAGGATCGCTGTTGTGCACGTTTGACACTTGGAGATGTTTCGAACTCTACACAACGGCTCCGGGAGCCCAGACGCTGGCCGGCCTCTGCCTGGCTTCAGCGCTGCTCCCCTGCGAGCGCTGGAGCAGGGTGACCGCGGGCAGGGGGCGTGGGGCGGCTGTGCCCGACCTCTGCCCGTTGCTGCCCCGCCCCCTCCGCCCGCTCCGCCCGCCGCGGGGCCGGCGCCCCGGGCCGCAGCCCCAGGCCCGTCCGCCGCGCTCTCGTGCGGCTGCGGGGCACCGGGGCGCCCGCCGAAGGCGCGTGTGCAAAGGGGCTCGCGGCTGCCGCGCCCCCGGACTGCGCGTCACAGCCCCTGTCAGGCAGCTCTCCGCCTCTGGTTCTGGAATCTACTTGCTTCCCTCACCTCGTCACGTCTAGAGCGATCCCGCACTCTCTTGTGGTTCCACAGTTTTGTTAACTAGCTCATTTATGAAATCTCAGATTGCCCAGTTTGGGGGTGTCGCCGGTTTCCCTCAGAGGCCCCCATCAGTATGCGAGCTACTTAAATATCTGTAGATCTCTTGCATCTCAACAAATCTGAATCAAATTTTTTACATAGTTGCACAATATTATGATTGGAAGGGATCTTAGAGTTCACCTCAAGCATCTCCTAGATTGTATTTTGGGGAACACTCATGGGCTAGAAATGTTAACGGGTGTTCTGGGGGGGGGAGTTTTTTATGGTTAAGTCAGTTTGAGCTGTGCTGAGCACTCCATCTCCCTCGCAGCGGTGGCGCGCACCAGCCTAGCAAAGGCCTCGAGGTCTTCTCACAAGGGAACCTGCTCAGCTTTGTCTAACCCGGCAAAGCTCAGCCTTAGACATCCAGAGCGATTCGTGGTCATCGCCTGCCCAGTCGCCATCCGCTGCTGTCTTTCTGCTTTCTAGGGGATCTGTAAGTGTGTCCTAGTACCTGCCCCCTATCCCCCTATTCTCATCCTGTGCTTCAGGGGAGGTGGGCCTCACCACCCCCCCTCCGCCCCGCAAGGGGCTCTCGTGATTGGTTTGCACCAGTGGTGGTCCGGTTCCCCTTGCAGGTGGTAAGGGCCGGCCTGGGCGTGGAAAGCAGGGCTGGCCATTGAGGTGGGAGTTCCTAGCAGACACCTGAGGAAAATGTTTCTAAACAATAAAAGGAGACACTCAGACTGAAAGCACCCTGCTTCACTGCCCCCGCCGTTTTCTTCCTGTTGAGGAACCCCAGCCAAGGTGGTGAGGGAGCCGCAGGGAAGAGGCAGACCGGGCGGAGCCCTTGAGGGCTTCATTGCACTGCTGCGTGTTCAAGTGAAATGAAGAGCCCCGTGTTGTCGCTGTCTAAGCCATGTGAACTGGATCTTAAATTACGTTCAGCTCCCAAACTATAAAATAGTTATTTTGGGAACATTAATGTTCTGAAGAACACAATTTGGGAAACACCGATTCAGAGCAATTCTTTTGTATCTTAGAGGAGGGAACTGAGGCCCAGAGAGGTTTTATCAGACATCGAAGTCTGATGAAACTTATATGACCAATTTATAAGTATATAAAGTATATATAAGTATATATATATATATATATATATATAAATTGGTCATATAAATTCTATCAAAAGAGTACAGCTATGCTCTACTTTGGAAGGAAAAGAAGAACAATTGCTTTTAAAGTAGAAGCTTAGTCTTCTCAAATGTTGAGTAAATATGTTCTTCGTGCTTTGGATATAACTGTTCCAAGAGTAGCAAGAGGAGTGCATCCGAAACCTGGCTCCACCACTTTCAACTTGTGTGATCTTGGGTTAAAGAAAGTACTTAAAACTTACAGAAAAAGCAAACAAACAAGCAAGTATATGAATCAGGGTGGGGGGATAGAAAATGGGGTGTCCCTGGTGAGGGGTCTTAAGGAAGTCAGAGAGCAAGCCAGGAGGACCTCTCGGGGAGACGGGCAGTTTTAGGCCTCACCCAGAGCCACCGAGTCAGAGTCTGAAGGTAGCATAGTTCCTGGGAGCTTCCTCTCTGCAC